CGTACGTAAATATTAAAAACGAGGAAGGAAAATTCATACAAAAAGGGATAACATTAACAAACAATAGTTCAATTCAAAGATGGAAAAGAAAAAAAAAAAGATCACAACATCATGATACATACAACCATGGTACAACATATTTGGAACAATATTGAAACTTTTTCTCAGTCCTCTCTTCTAACAAATTAATATCCAATCCGGATAGGAGTAATCTATAGTGAACGTATGCATTAATGAATTCTGTTGCATTTTAGCAAGTAGGGTCGTTAGATGTTCCGAGAACGGTCTCCATGTGTCGGTGAATATCGTTCAAATATCTTGTGGAGTTGTATTCTTCGTTATCCAATAGCTCTTCAGAGTAAGTCCTCTGCAGTTTCGAGCTTTCTCGTTCTCTTAGCTGATCTAAGCTGCACTTGTCTCCCCTCAGAATCTGCACAACCTGTACGCATATATACACACGCACACACACAGTCCATTATGTATATGTCCAAAAGAAAAGCTATTAACATTAGTGGTTTTATGTTTTGATATGGAAATGTTTTTAATGCATGCCTGGCTCATGTGGGGACGGTTCATGGAGGTTTGGTGTATACACAAGGACGCTATGAAGACAAGACGATCCAAATCTTCTACGTCGTAATCATCTCCCAGAATCGGATCAACAAGTTGTTTGATCTTGTTCTCTTTGATCAATGGCTTGGCCTGCAAGAACTTAATTAGTTTGTTATAATGAAAGAAAAACAAAATATTACAATCTTTTTATATCTCATTTTGATTTTGAAATCTTATGAAGAAAATAGAGATCAAGGGCTAGGCAATAAGAAATGGTCACATAACATACCCACATGACAAGGCTATGTTGTGAGCTGTCAAGGGCTTGTCTACCGGTGATGAGCTCAAGAAGAAGGACACCGTAAGCATATACGTCTGTTTTCTCGTCTACAATCCCATGCATAAAGAACTCTGGTGGAAGGTAACTGATCCAAGAACACATAAAGAGAGGTAGATATATCATTAAAAGTAAATAGGTTTGTGAATTCACGTAGATATATGATCTATATCAATGAGAGATTCCAAACCCGAATGTCCCTTCTACTTTTGATACGGTATGGTGAGTCCATTGGTCTGGTAGCCATTTCGCTAGCCCGAAATCAGATATCTACAGTAATCATTTGGAAAGGAAAAAAAAGAATCTTATTACGAGTTCATTCTTGTTTCATAATAATAATTTCAAAAGACTATTAATTAGGGTATAATCATTACCTGAGCCTCAAAGTTCTCAGTGAGAAGGATGTTAGAAGCTTTAATGTCTTTATGAATGATCCTTCTTTGACAACCTTCGTGGAGATAGAACAGTCCCTCTGCTGTACCCATCGCCACTTTGTATCTTATGCTCCAACTCAGTTTCTCCTTTGCCTCTACAAAATGTTATAAGGATCTATGTTAGGATTTTTCATATTTTTAGCATGCACAACTAGAGCATCTCCGAAATTTTGTCTCTTTTCTCTTTTGATTAAACAAAAATAGTTTGTAGATTGCTCTTGAGACATCAAATAGAAGAGATTGTTTTCACCGTAGAGCAAGGAAGCGAGGCTTCCATTAGGAGATAGCTCAAGAACAAGATGCATTCCACCTTCAACACAATATCCAATTAGCCTAGCAATGTTTGGATGATCTACGTGAACTATGATCCCTAGTTCGGACAGATAATCCATTGTCATCTCCTCCGCGGAGCCTCTAGTCAGTTTCTTTATCGCCACTATTTGCCCATCCGCCATTTGTCCCTTGTACACCTCCGCATATCCTCCTTCTCCGATCAGATTCTCTGCCATAAGATCCACAATTTCGATCACTTCACATATGATAAACGGATTGAAATAATTGCTTATATAGAAACAAGGGTTTCGAACCACGGCTGTAGCCATTTGTGGCGGTTTGGATATCTTGGAGAGAGAAGTTTCTCCAGGAGGGTTTGAAGTAGAACAAGTCATCAGTGTCAAGAGCAGCAGCAGGTAGAACAGGGACCATGTTGTCTCTTATGCGTTTGCTCTTCCGTCTGGTCAGTTTGGGAACTCCTTTGAGAGGTGTGAACGTGTTGAATGGCATCGCGGATGATCCTTTCTTGAGTAAACGGAAGAAACCTCGCCGCCAGTGACCGTTGGTTGGACCTCCAGACGA